TATGTTTGGGGTTCATAGCTTTACCAGGCCTATACTCAGCACATGGCGTGAGTATAGGTCGAGTGTAAACGTCCCCCTTTCACGTAAAACTAATGATTTCTTTCAATTTAATTTTATTTTCAGGTTAAAGCAGAAACTCATCTCTTCTTCCCATGGCTGCACCTTGCATATCGTGCTTCTCTTTCTTTCTCTCTTCATCTCTCTCACATCCTAATCTCTAAACAGTTAAATACAATATCAAACTTGAAAAAAATTCAAAAAATCTGTTCAGAATGAAGAAAGCTGTGAAACTTGGAAATTCGCAGGAGGACACCGCGCATTTCTTATTTGTGCCAAGAAAATGAAAATGAGCAATATCATCACTCCGTACGGAAACGGGATGTATGTAAGAGCATAATGAAAATAGTAAAACAGTTGAAACATACAATTTCAAAAGTAATAAGAATTCAGACCGCATTAGAATCCATGTAGTATAGAAGACGATCACTTGAAGCTATGTAACGTTAGGGTTCGGTAAAGTGGATACTCCTTCGAAACAACAAATTAAACTCTACCTATTGCGTACTGGAAGTTTCGTTCAGATTTCAAAATATTTTCGTTTCCGGCTGGCAGTCTCTTGTCTCTTTTCAAAACGAAATAATAGAAATGACAAGAGTGAGTACAAAGAAAATAGGATTCTCATCTGACGTAATTGGTGAGAGGAATTGGCGTCAATCATGTTTACATGACATATACAATCGGCAGTGCTTGCGTAGTTTGGTCACAGGAGAAGGAAATCAGTAGATATCTCACCAAAGTTAATTAGTGCAATTCCGTTTTCTTAAAGTGTTTGTCTATGAACAAGATGACGAACAAAGCGTGCTTATGTCTGTTTTATTCAAAAAATAAAGAAAAATATTATACAGAATCTATTGTTCCAATGATATGCCCAGAAGAACGCATGCGCGAATAGGATGGGAGGGGAGAACGAAGACAGTGAAGAAGGGGAAAGGGACATGAAAAACGAAAAAATACAAAATATATGTCAACTGCTTATAAATAAATGAAACTGAAGTCTGTTTGAAAAATAATGTACAAAAAAGGAGAATTGTTATATTCCATTGTAGATTACCACATTGGACCGAAGCCACTGGAATAATAACGTCCTCCACCCCATCCACCGAACTGATGATATTTGTTGGGGCCAACAAATGTGCGATGATAACTGCCAAATGGGAATGGGTTGGCAAGGAACCTGAAATTGATTATAATTGTAGTTTGATGGATATATGTGTGTGTGTTGTCACCTCAGTAGCATTCCGTTGTGTGGTGGCATGCCATAGAGCAGGCTCTGAGAGTATGGTGCATATGACAGAGCACCAGGTGAGAGCTAAAGAGGAAGCATATTTTGGAATTTGAAAGATGAATCGTACCTGAGGATGATAACCAGAATAAGTTGAAGTGGGTGTACGAACATGAACTGGTTGTGTAGAATGTGTGCTGACAGGAGGAGGAGATATAGCTCTGTTACGATACGTAGCAGGAGCAGAATCCATTGAAGATGGTGAACGAGAGTTAGCTTGATGATACGAATGATAAGCTCTCTCCTAAACAAGTATTTAAGTCAGCTGTTTGCCCTTGTATATGTTGTTTGAAGCTTTGTTCACATCCAAACATGTTTTACAAAAGTATTGTGGCAAAACGTACAGGTGGAACAGATTGAGATCTGGACGGTCTTCCGGCGATCTCAGCTGCTGAGATAACAGCTCCTTCAGCCAAAGTCGTATGAAGTTTCAATTTGTTTTTTGTCTGATTTAAAGCATCACGAAGTTCTCGATCAGTATTAATTATTTGCTGAAAAAACACACACATAGTTAACATAGTTAGAAGGAACTGAAGTACTTGTCGTCCGTATTGGTCAATGTATGCGAGAGCTCCCTCGAAATCCGGACGAACTTCATGTACTTTCTTCATGAAAGCCTTAAAAGTTTTTATTTTAATCTCATTCAACGAACACAAAGCCAGCTTACATCGAAGATATCTGTGTATTCCATTTCATAGTCACTGATTCGGAGACTATATTTCTTGCCGAAATGGTTCCATTTCACTTTGATTCCAGAAAACATTCCCATACTGAAAATATAAAATATGTTCACACATCTCATTACAGAAGACAGAGAGAATCGTTGAGTTCAAACAATTCAAATGCTTTTCGGACGGGGAGAGAGGAAAAAAAAGTGATTTTCTCAAGCATTTGTTCTTGTTCGTTGGCTTGGGGTGGGCATGGGAGATGAATGGAGGTCAATCACAGCGACTATTCATCTTCAGAAGCTTTTCGGAATACAAAACGGAATTACTTTAACATCATAAGGAACAACTGGTATAAGACACCGGAAAAGGGTTTGAGTCAATCTGGAAGGAAATGTTCAAGAGGAACGTGAACTTCTGGCATAGAATGTTAATGGAGAGATCAAAGACGAGATGCATGCTGAGTGATTGAAGAGAGAGAGAGAGGTGGTGATGGTGCTGGTGGTAGTGGTGTTGAAGACTTGGCAACGAACAAAAATTGTTGAGAAAAATATAATTTGATAATAAGGGAGAGAGGAGGATGGAAGAGAGGAAAAGGGAAAAAAGCATGTGGCTGAGAGGTCAATATTTGAGGAGAAAGGAGAATGTCTGTGAAAATAAAATATTCAATGAGGTAGAAACGAAATGTAGCAGATTGCTTCCGGAAAGACAGATTAGAAGGTGCGAACGTGTGAAGAGAGAGAATCCTTCTCTCTCAAATGCAAATGACAGAAATTACAAAATGAATGGATATAATTGGAAGATAAACACAAACCATAAACTTTCTATGCAAAATTGTAGAAATGGAAAATGAAATTAAAAAAGAGGAAAACAACTTGATCTATGATGATGATGAGGAGGATGGATAGTGAGGAGGACCGTTAGATGGAAGTTTGCCATTTGTGAAGATCACTTGAAGCTTGAGTAGCTATGCGAGTAGGATCAGCAAGAGAACTACAAGCTCCGCCTCATTGTTTCACACAAATCTCACAGAAGACTCTCTCTCTAACTCTCTGTCTGTCCAAAAATAGAAAATGAGCAGACGTTTTTTACTTAACTTTTGGACTTTCATTGCTGTGAGTCGTAAGAGCAGCTTAATCTATTTTAGAAAGCAAATCATAATGAATATCCATTTTGGGATGTGAGAGGGTGAGCAAAGCAGTCAGAGAGACGAGAGAGAGAGACAGAGAGAGAGAGCAGATGGAGAAATGTTAAGAATTCAAGGAAACACCTCAGCTTTATCCGGAAATGAGATATTCGTTGCTCTTACAAAGAAAGACGCAAGAAGCTTTCAACTTACTCGATGACAGCTTTCCCCCCCACTTTTTTCTATTTGATGGTCTAGGGTTCAAAAATAAAATAATTGACCGAACATGGTGGATGATTCTGTGAATGACATGCTACATGCAAGAGAGTTTTCAGAATATTTATGATGAATGGCCAAGTCCCTCATTCTCTCTCTCTCTCTCTCTGTCAAATATCTAATTTGACGATAAAGCTCAATAGAGACATTTCAAAAATATATTTTTGTCTTAATTCGGTTATTCAACATTCCATCTTTGGCTAGCGGATAGGTTTTCGAAGATCTTTCCCACTCTAGCATTGTCACAACTTGATGTTTTGATTGTTTCTTGTGATATCAAAGCCTGTTCTAAGAGTTCCTTAATAGTACAAACAACATGCTCAAGCGAATGATAAGAAGGAGACAGCAAGCGAGCTACAAGATTTCTCAGATAAGTCAATGACATGACCCTTCAGGGCTCAAAAATGACGAAAATGAGAAGCTTTAAAAGATTTGGCGAAGATTATTCACAAACATAATTTAAGTTGTGAATGGAGGGGAGGCGCTCTCTCTCTCTGAGTTATTTTTAAGACTTTGATACTTGTTCTGTTCAACCGAAAGAAGATGAAGAGGAAGAAAGAGCTTGCGAGAGCTGAGCATCTCCTAAATTCATTTCTGGTTATGAATGGGATTGAAGGAATTTGTTAAGTTGAAGACAAAATGAATGATCTCCCCTGCATTCTCTCCCCATCTCCTTGCAACCCCACCCTCCCTGAAAACATGAAAAGCATTTTGGGTTCTAATCAAACATCACACGAAATGCCCAAAAACATGTGTTTCATGTTATTTCTATGATTTACAGACTTCATTTACATGAGATTAAGAAGATTTTCATTTGAAATACGCAAAATAGAAAGAAACGAAGAGAGACAGTCAGAGAGAGAACGACTGAAGGAGGGAAAGAGGGAGGGAGGGAGAGAGGGAGGGAAAGGGAGCTTGAGAGAGAAGGGGGATAGGAGCAAACGAAATTTCACAAAAGAAATGTTTTCATCAATCTCAATAGATTATGAATGAAATATTTATAAACTACAGAGTACAAAGCGGTTTTCCAAAAAAAGGTTGGAGGGGAGAGAGAAGGGAAGGAAACAACCGCTCATGACGTAAGGCAAGAAGATGAAATGAGAATATTGGCACGTCGATTTTCACGTGTGCTCATCATCATTTCATATTCCGAGAAGAGTTTAGTATATGAATGGGTCTTCTCATTTCTCAGAATATATATTATTTATACGTATAGTCAAGAGATAATGTGATAATCGTCGGAAGCCATCATTATTCATCTTATCATTAGAGCGAGCTTCTATCCATCTCTCATATCTACTAGCAGCGTATTAAAACGGAATAAATATTATAATTAGGGGAGGGAGGGAGTGAGTGAGATGAAAGACAAAGAACGAATTCGAATATTACTTTGAAAACGCTTAGTACATGTATGGGGCAGCATAAGGTGATGCAAGTTGGGGGAAAAGCTGTTTTGACCAGAAAGCCCGTAAATATAGATTGCGAAAGGTCTTTCTGTTTCTTAAATCTATTCTACTTCTCACACTCTCTTTTTGTCTGTTCATTTGAAAACAAAAAAGAAAACTTGTAGCTCTAGTTATGCTAGATATCTGAAAAACATGAGAGAAATTCAAAAAATCAAAGCTTGTCTCTCAACTATAAATGTGATCAAGGCTGTAAAAGACGTGCGACATGGATGAAGAGAGGCTGTGAGACATGGAGATACATAGACAAATGCACCGGCAGACGAGTGATGGCAATGAAAGGATTCCAAAGATAAGACAAAGTTTCTATGAACGGATTAGGACATCTCACAAGATATGCCAGCGCTTCTATGGCTACCCTCCTCCCTCGTCTTTATACTTCATTATATCCTTTTATGTACTTAGAAGTTACAAAGAGATATCGTCACGCAAAACTTTCGAATGAATCATTTAGAGCAGCGGAAGGTCAGAATGGATCAAAATTAGAAATTAATCATCCATGTGTTGAGATGTGGAGGAACTCCCATGAGAGCTATCAAAGACAAAGCTCTCTCTCTCCTCCCCTTCCTCCCCCTCTCTCTCTCTCCCTCTCTCTCTCTCTCTCTCTCTCTATTACTTATGAAAGCTCACTTTTCATCGTTTGCTTCCTTTTCTGCAACCGAAAATCTGAACTTTGTTCACTCACGTAGGGTCAATCTAAGCCTTTATATGGACAAACTATCTGAATGTTGCGAATGAGACGAAGGCTGTCGTCGGCATTTTCTTCGTTTCAAACAAATTTTTTTCTTTTTTTTTTCTCGCTTTTGTGAAACAATACGGTTGCCAATAGACACCCACACCTCTACACGCACACACCTCTACACACAACCAGCCCATACACAATTCATTACCGTTTAAGCCTTTATGCTAATTATGTAATTATGAGGCATCTTGAAATATCTCTCCAACTCTCTCTCTCCTTCTCTTTTTCAAATATACTTAAGATATTCGATTTCAAAAACAAATATGGAGGATTAAAATGGAACACAGAGAGGCCATTGACCATCCTCCTCCTTCCTTTTCTTCCCAAATATCAGGATAACTTTTAAGAAATGTGCAACTGACGTTAATGTTTCAAGCTTTTCCCTCAGACTATGAAGACAAAGCAGTTCAACAGTCCAACCTACTCATAAAGCATCTTAGAGCAGAGGGATAGACAGACCCTCGGGCAAAAGTTTTTTTTTCTAAAACTCTATCTATCTCTCTCTATACTCTTAAACCCCCTCTATCTCTCTCTCTCTCTCTCACAGACAAATATACAAAGAAAAAAAAAGAAAAATGGGATGCTCGAGAAGATCTCGTTCTTATTGAAAAAAAAAGATTTTCTAGTTGCGGATATTATTTTGAATATCGTTAATGAAATGATGTTTGAACGTATTCAGATGACGCGACGACAGCGCAATCGTTGACGACAGCGATGGCGATGAGCTAGCGAGATGAGAATGGACATCTTCGGTGGTCCTGTGACATTCTTTTGACAAACGAGATAACAAAGCTTTTCGCACTAAATATTCATCATCTTCTTCCACCCTCTACATCCCTCTCTGTTTCCGTTTTCACACTTGTCACCTTATGGGTACTATACGAATAGAGAGACAAGACATGGAGGTTCAAAACAGAAATGTGAGATTGAAAGGAAGCTTAGAAACGGATAAGAAGAAAAAAAAAAGTTTTTGATTCATCCTTAAGCTGTTGACGTCAACATGTAGTACGTGTGATTGTGGCATTCATTTCAAGTTCATTTCAAACATACACAAAAGGCTTTTCTATCGTTTTTTTACTTTTTCTCTCCCACTCTCTCTATATCTCTCAGTCTCTCTCTCTTTTAATGTTTAGAGAGGGAGTAAATCATTTTCTCCAACATATTTGTATTATGGAGAAAAGTAAAAATGAAAAAAAAGGCTTGGAATGCAACCGCTCACGACGTATACGAGCCATAAAATGAAAATGAAAAGAGGTAAATGGACATATATGCAAATGAGCTGATAATAAATTAGAATAATACGAACCTGTCATCGGAAGTGTCGACAGCACGTGAGAATGGACGAGAGAGAGTATCAAACACTTTCTCATGAATCATTTTTTCGCGATGAAGCCATGTAGGGGTTGGAGACATCATAACCTTAAATAATAATTATAGAACGAGGCTTTGACAGACGAGAGCGAAAAGAAGATGAAGCATGAACGATATAAAAACTTCAAATGAAGGGAAAGGTGGAAAACTGTGGGTGGGTGGGTGTCAGGTCGTTGAAAAGCACAGAAGTCAACTATTTGTTGGCAAAGAAACGATGAGAAGAAGAAGTGAGCAAAGAGGAAACGCTACTGTTAGGCATTGCACCGATAGAAGACATCAGCTGGTTTTCCACTTTTTCTTCTCAAACAGCAGGAACATTCAGAGAGCGCGAGGACAACGACGACGACAATGATGATGATGAGGATGATGAGAAACAAATGAAATCAAGTTCAGGTTGACATAAACCACAACGCAATGAGTGAGCATCCCAAACAAACGTGAACGAGGGTGGTAGCTACATGAGTAACAGGATAAGCTCGAGTTGTAAGCGAATATCAAATTTGCGAATGGCTGAAAAGGTTTTGTCACAAAAAAAAGTTTGTCAGTCAAAGTCTTTCTCTTTCAGTCAGCCTTTTATAGCTAAAAATTAGAAAAAAGAAAAGAGGGTGGGAGGGAGAGAGGTTGTGTGGAGGTAAAGACTAGAAGGAGTGAGATAGAGCACAACTCTATCCATTTATGTGCAAAAACTAAGAAAAACATCTGTGAAGCTTAGAATATCGTATTGAAGGAGTTAACGTACTATGGAGGGAGCGATGTCTTTGAAGCCTTTTCGAACCTCAATTATCTTCTTCAATAACATAATTAATGAAAATTTAACATTATTTACAACCTTTTTTTTCCTTTTTCAACATTTTTGCAGACACGACATGAACGCAAAAAAAGGATTTTGTTGTTTCTCTCTCTCTCTCTAACACTCTCTCAATCTTTATCAGACCTCTCCCTATCTCTCACTGTTTCTCCTTCAGAAATGGTTTTCAAATGAAATTTCGTGGATTATGACTCAGTTTTATGTTTTTTCCTTTCTTCAAACAGCAACAGCCTCAACTGAATTTCATTTTACCTTCATAACTCTCCTTGTGATAGGATTTATTTGAAAAAAAATGTTCATTTGATAGGTTGTTTGACTTTTCCATTGACCAGGAACATACTCTCTCTCTCTACAACTTACTCTCATAACATGTAATTCAGTTTCTATTTCTCTTTCCCTCTCTCTCTCTCTTTTAACTCTCTGCATTGGAATGTCAACATTATGTTCTGAGCCGATTATGCTTTTTGAGCTTCAGGCGGTAGAACTTTGTTGACTATTCTCAACGGCACTTGATTAGAGAGAGTTAAAGGAAAATATGGAGATGAAGAGATGGAGAGATAGAAGGAGAGGTAGACAGAAGGAAAGATGAGAAAATGAAATTGTTAAGAAAAAAAAACTTTTCTCTTGCCCTCTCACTCTCTCTCTCTCTGTATGCAAATCAAACATCTGTCCAAGGGCAAGTTGATGATGAAAAAGGACTTTTATAAATAAAAAATAATATTTTTCTTTTTATTTTTGAATACATTTGCTATGAATGGAAGATGATGTCAGATTTGTATTCTGCATCCATCGTCCATTCTACCAAAAAGTAGAAAACCATATTGGATGGAAAGAGCAAGGAACAAAGGTAGTGAGAGAGTGGGATATCAAAGGAATGAAGCTATAGAGAGAGAGAGAGTCAATAAATCTGAAATTCTGTTAAAAAGAGAAACGAAATGGTCTAACTCAATGACAAACATCATTGTGGAAGCTAAATTATGAAGACGTAGGCGAGAGCAGGAGAAGGCTGGTTCAGACACAGATGCATCTTCTTCTCCTTCCTCCCATCTTCTTCGTCTTAGTCTACGTTGTCGTCTTGAAGCTCTTGTAATGATAAACCAGATTTCCAGATAAAAACGAACTTGAATTTTATAAAAATTTCTGTTTAACACGAGATTGACAACAAGGAAAATAAAAAAATATGAAAATAGAATCTTTCCTTTACACACACACACACATACACAGACAGACACATGCTTGTACACATGCTTCCACAGACATATACACATGTGGACAACCGTTCAATTCCAGACGAGAAAGCTAAATGACAAATGCATCTCACGTGGAAGACGTGAAAAGAGACGAGATTAGAATATATGACTGTTTGTGAGGAGTTCAGCTTAAATCGTGTGCTAATAAACGTCACACAAAGTGCGTTAGGAGAATGTCACCTTAAAAGGGTTCTAAGGGTGAGAGTACTTGATTGAGGAAGATTTTTCTTATTTTTGTTTTTAAAGGAATTAACCATGAATTTCCAATGAAATAAAGTCGAAAAATGTCTCCGTCATTTGCAAAATTTTATTTAAAATTAGCATATGAAATGGAGAGAGGGAGAGACAGACAGAGAGAGAGAGAGAAGGGTTGGACGGGGGACAAGAGAGGACTTGACTCCATAGAATTTCAGAACAAAAGCTTATTAATGAAGAGAACGAAAATATGTATGTTTTAGACAATATGGAAAGGACAAACCTATCCCTTGCAAGCGTCAGAAGACAGAATGTGGGAGGAGGTTGAATGGAGTTTCGGACAAAAGCTTCATTTGCTCATCAAGTTCACCAACTAGTCAGATGATAAGCTTCAAGGAAATTCTTGTTGAGAGTGAGTGAGTGAGAGAGTGAAGAGTAGAAGAAGAAGAAGATGTGGAAAAAGAAAACAATTTTTCACTTCATTTACATATCTCTTACATGTGTTTTGAGCTTCTCCTAGCTCAAAAACCTCTCTCCTCTGTCAAGCAGAAGGGAGTAGTGAGAGGGAGAGAGAGCAAAAATGAAGTTTGAAGAAGTTTTTTTGTATGGAAAACAAGCAAATATCATCTAATAGTATTAGGAGGTGAGCATAGTCGGTACTGCTCTCAGAGAGAGAGAGAGAGATAGATAGAGAGAGAGAGGGAAAGGAAGGCAATTGTGTTGTCGCAGTTAAAGCTCAGATCGAAACATCTCTCAGCTTTTCCTTGACAGAACTTGATCGACAGCCTAAGTCTTATATGGTTAAAAATAAAAATTTTCTTCAGAACATAATGATTCAGATTGTTTAGTGGTCACACGGCATCTACGACGACAACGACGACGTCATTTGCTCCAATTTCCTTTGGGGAAAGAAACTCTGAAGACCAACTGAATCATTGAAAACATGGCAAAGAACAAATTAAACTGAAAGTTGCCATGGAAAAGCAAATGTGGAAGTTAATTTCTTTTTTTTGCTTTTTTCCAAAAGCTATGTTTCTCCTAAGCTTTTCCTAATAGCTCAACGACTAATCAGCTTCATGCGTTCTGTGAGCTTTCGAACACAACTCATCGAACTTCGAACTATTATTCAAATAAAATCTGGATTAAGCTTCATTAAGCTTTATCCCTATTAAGGCATGTTACTCTCTTTCTCTTCCTCTCTCTCTCTATATTCTTATCTCTCGTCTTCTTTCCTTCGGTGATAACATAAGCACAGCCGTTGATGGTTTCTGCTCTATAAACTCTGAGATGAAGAAAAAATGTAGATTTCATTAGAAAAACAAAAGATTTTTAAGCATTTTCTCTCGTTTGCACATCAGCTCACAAGACTTGCAGAGAGAAGAAGACGTCGTTTGAAGGCAAAATATCAAAAATAGGAGTAAATTCTGTTAAAACTAATGCAAACAGCTTAAGAACTCGATCAGAGTTGCCTTCGGGCAATCTGTCAACAGCGAGCCATCTCCTTTTTTGTATTTCTCTCACTTACACATAGACACACACAGAACCCTACTCTGTTTTTCATTCAAATTCCTAAATAATTGAAGAAGAGCATAGAAGCTGTCACTTATTCAAACTTTGCGTGTGTCTTTGAATACACGTAGTTCACGTGAACACAATATGTCCTTTAATTTCATTTCATAACGAGCAGATGCGTAGAGCGGTTGTGGTATGCACATACATACACATACTCTATGAGTATGAGTATAGAACATACATATCCAAATCTCCTTTTTTGTCACAATTTCTATATTACCCACATATATACTATGCGTATATAGTATATAGAAAGATTTAAAAGTTTGTTTTGACACAATAGACGTTATATGGAAAACTAGTCGTAGTTGAAGAGTTGACTTTTGACGGTCCACTGCTTAGCAATGAGGACATAAATTACACATAAAATGACTTCTTTTTTTTTATTTTATAAAACAACGTTTTTTGTTCTTTTGTAGATTTCGATTGAATGTTCCTGCCATAGTAAAGATCTTCAACATGACATTAGCATGTAAGCCAATAGACAAGGATGCACGGGGATTACGAAGAAAAGCAAAATGAAATAAGGAGGTTCTTACAAGAGACTGAGAGAGAGAGTGATGATGGAGAGAAAGGGTTATAGAGAGAAAGAGAGAGGGAGATTCCATTTGCCATATATCACAGATAAATCGAATAATCAGTTGCCTAGTTCACATAGTGTCAAGTTAAGAAGTTAGGAGCAGTAGTGGAAGAGGAAAGAGTGAGTGTGAGAGAGTGAGAGGTAAAGAGAGACAAAGACTAGTAGGACAACGTGTCAACCAAATCATAATAACCGTAAAATGTACAAAAATAAGATGAAAATAAAGGAAATTCTGCTAATTGAACTATGATGTAACTCCTCGAGCAGGAAATCAACAGCTCCATCGCCAGTTTTCGAAATAACAACTGATCTCAATGGTCGATCTCTATAATTATTTATATATTTAAATGAATTCAGACAAAAAAGGAGAAGGAAGGAAGAGAAAGAGAGGCTGTGAGATAGAGAGAGAGGAAGAGGAAGAAAGAACAAACCTTTTGAAGGGAGTGTCGAGTTCTATACGAGTAACTTCTTTTCTAAGATGACGTCGATGACGAGCTGAATGCGATCGACAGTGGGCTGTTGATAACTCCGCCACAACCGAATAGCCACGATCAACAACTGAAATATTTACAACATTTTCAAATTAATTTCGATTGTTCTCTTTTTTCTAAATAAGGAATGCTCAAGACGAGGGAAGTGAGTTTACCGTTGAAGTCATAGCATTCAGCTCGAGGAAGTTGACCGACAGACTTGCTTTCATAGAATTTTTTATGATTCTTCATAGAATTCTCGATAATTACACGTCCATCGTAGCCAATGAAAACCTGAAGAGGTAGCAATGGAATAACACTTCTCAGTTGTTGACTCACTTGTAAGGAGTTCTTGATGATGGGAGATTCTATGTCATGGACTTTATCCATCAGATAAATGACAAGACCACTCTTGTGCTCAACGTGGGTATGACGGCTGACTCGCTTCATTAGAAAATGAACCTAAACGTATTCATATATGCACTCAGTTCATCGTTATCATAATATTATACTTTTCCTGAAATAATTTGCTGAGAAGGGAAGCTTGGAGGAGCTAATTGCGAGAGAAGAATCGTTGAGGGATGGCCTAAGAAAGCTGGCCCATGATCACTTCGTACAACCGTAGATAGCATGTCAGATGATGAACTGGCGAAAGTCACCGGATGCCAGTCAGATAATGAGAATGATGGTACAGTCTGAAGATATCAGTCTTATATGGTTTTCAAAGAATTGTTTACTTTGATTGTTTCTGTCGTGATGTTTTCCAGAATTGCCCGATGCATGGGTGTCAAGTCATAGAGAACTCTATTCTTAGTTGCCTGTCTTCGTAGGTCAGCTATCTCGTTCCAGTGGAGAACCTTCAAATGTTCATAAACATTAAATAAAAATAGAAGTTGTAAAGACTTCATCTTCCGAATCACTCCATATAAGCAATGAAACTGATTGATCGATTCCCAAAAGCCATAAAAGCTGATACTTGGAGTTGGCTGCCTGAAAGACGAACTTTCATTTTCTAGTTTATCAAATGGATTTAGGAGATACTTCCACCCTGTGTGTATGCTGTTCTAATAAGTTTTGATGAGCTAATAGATATCTTTCAATTTGTTTTGCAATTAATTGTATTTGCTCTTCCATTTCATAAAGAGAGAGAGAGTAGGAAGAGGAAAGAGAGAGAGCAAGAGAAGATGAGCACGAGACTTAGAGTAAAAGAGTATTAATGGGTCAATAATCTAAGAACATATCCCATTACAAATGATCGTTCATGAGAAAAAGGAAGCTAAACTCACAACAGACAATCTGACTGATAGCATAACAGGTTGATCCAACTTGTCTATGTATTCCAAGATGTCGAAGAGTTGATGCCATGTGATTCTGAAGCAGTTTTCTTAACAACACGTTTACCAACTCAAACATACTTCTTGAATTTCTGTTCTAAACTACTGTAGTTGGTCTGTTTTGTCCATCCCAAGGAGAGCGTGGCGTCCGGAAAAAGTTTGGAAGTCTTTTCAACAAACGTCGAAGGATCAACGGGCATCTTCAAAATGATTTTTTTGACGCCAAAGTGTAAACTTAGAAAGTTCTACCTCTAAGCTTCTTGGCGCTCTGAAGACATTAGCATGAAGGATAACAGGATACTCTAAGCCAGGAGAAGTTGGATCAGCTTGACTGGCGTAAAGGTATTGAAGAACTGGCCTCACAACCTCCGTTGAACGAAAATTGATTTTAATAGCTGAAATTATAAGGAATGAACTGTTCCATTTAGCTCCTTTCAATGTTATTTTTCTTTTTTTTTCTGTCAAAGTACAACAGGTCATCTGTCGCCTATTTACATTCTGTTATTTACCGTAATCCATCATTAGAAGCTTGGTCAAAGTTGACAATGACAGAGAAACTTTCTTTACAGCATTTTTTACAGCCTGACAAGCTCCTTAAGCTTCTTAATCCACTTGCGGCGAGTACACAAATGAAATGATAAATGAACTTAAGGAGACTCGTTAATTTTAAGAAATTGACATGAGAAATGTCGGCTGAGATCATAGTCGGTAAAGATGAAAAGGATATTTCCTTCAGATAATCAACTTGTTCAGACCCATCAGTCCCCCCTCTCTCTCTCTCTTCCCCACCAATTCACTTCTTCTCTCTGATTAGTTCCTGATTACGGTAACTATTATATTCATATTTTAAAAATAATAACAATAATAATAATAAAAATGATTGTATTTTGTGAAGTTTTCTCAACCATATGATTCGACGACTGCCAAATCTGGACTTCCAAATTACATGTTGGGAGGTTGTATGTTGATGAATCTAGCAAAAGGTGGAAAAGAAAGGAAGCGTGCCCAATGCATGAAACAAGAAATTGCTCGTCTTATTTTTGAACATGAAAGTAATTTATGAATATACAGGTTCATCATCTGGTCCCCTCTCACTATCCTACCCCTCCCCCCTCAATTTCACGCAAAACGCGTCAAGTTTGTATATTTGAATGGCCACACAAAGGGAACGTAGGGAGAGAGAAGAGAGAGAGAGAGAGAAGCAATAGACAAATTGACGGATTACCTATGCAAATCTGGCTGACAATCCATCAGATCATTTAAGGCCCATTATATTAGTATCTAACCCTACCTTTCCCCCCTGTTTATAACATCCAAACCACCCCCCACTCCTCTCCTTCCCCGGTCTATATGATATTCAAAACATTGAATAGGATGAATATCCATTCGGTTTCTGTCAAAAGATAATGTAAGAGAGAAGAAGCTACCTTTACGAAGTGTTGCAACTTCACGAAGCCATTCCTTGAATGTAATTCGATCGGCCATTCTCGCATTTGCTCTCATAACAGGAATCGCTCGATGTCTTGGTCGTCTATGAGACTGTAGAAAAACATCTCCTTCAATCATCATTGATTTGTTCAGGAACGGTTCTGGAAAAACAAAAAATATAAAAATGTATTCGAATATGCTTTTGCTTCATGCTGTAACCCTCATCATTATTATTTTTTGTCTCTCCTATTATAGAATGACCTAATATATCGTCTTACGGTAATCCGACGTCAATGCATCTCAAACAGAAATGTTATTTCCAATTAGTTATGCCTTGTCGGGTACATCAAAACCATATCTCATTAGAATCTTACATGACATCTTATATGACCAGCTGATGAGGTGAGCCCACAAAAAAAAGCTCCTTTATTAAAGAATTTGACAGACGGTACAGCTCTTTGCATGTAGTCCTCATAATTGTTGGTCACCTCGCTGACACATTTTGTATTCAAGCAGTTCCTTACAAAGCATAAGCACTAACCATGCAACTGATCAACCAAATCAGGCCAACTATTAACTCCATGAGCAACACGAATGTTCAGTCCATCACCATGTGTTTCATTTTTCCAAAAGTCCACAACGGACATGCGAGTTGCTCGCATCTCACGGCTGACATAATCTGAATAAGAAAATTATGAATGTAAGGAGGACAACCTATGCTATACTTATATGTATAGTTACATATGTATATTAAACATAAAATTAATAAATAGAGACAGATTTTATAGAAAAAGGTCATTAGAAGGAAGAAAAACAGAATCTTTCAAGCATCGAAACAGAGGGGGGGAAGATTGGAAGAGGAAAGGCAGATGGTCCATTCCCTCTATAAGGCTGTCATCAACAGGTCTTTCATTCGTTTAAAGACTTAAATACTCTCATAATCAGCTTTTAAACCGAAATTTGAGCAGAAATAATAATGACAGATAAGGTCATTAAGAAAGCAGATGCATCAAAAAATATTTTTCTTTTTCAATAACAAGCACTGAATAAGGTAATTGGATTAGCTTAGCTCTATCATTTCAAGTTTCATTTGGGCTTTTCTCTCCTCTCACCCTCTGTTTCAATCCCCTTTAATTCTTAATGAGCTTCCAAATCCGCGTTAATTGCTTGCAAAGATATCCGTTCGGATTTTAGTCGTCATTGTCATGGGAATGAATTAAATGGAACACGTGTTGACTGTGATTGCCGAAACACGCACAGAGCATTGTAAACGACTATCTCCTTCTCCCTCCTTTAAGTCTTCGCCTGTTTTTTTTTCTTCTTTTATCGCTCATAATCAATTATTCAAGTGAAAAACACATAGCCTCAGGCAATTTCTCACAACTTATTCAAAGTATTATATTGATTCAGTTAACTGTCTCAACACACAATAAAGCTTTTAAGCTTGAAAGGCCTTTGAAGCGGAAGAGGGACATAAGTGAAAAGACCTTCTAAGTCAATAGTTATCATATGATTAAATAACTAACTTGAACAATGAACTGAATGGATCAGAAGCGAAATTGATAACCAAAGCTTCATCGTATTTTCATCTCAATCAACCGATCCGATCTGAAATATAGAAAGTGTGAATAGAGAGAACAACCAGCATCTGTATTATTAAAATAGATTGACGAAACACAATTGAGGAAGACATTTTTTCATTTGAACAATGAAATTTGAGAATACGGAAGAAAGAACTTTAATAAATCGAGAGATGACACTTCAGACTTAGAGAGATGAAGCTTCTTCATCATCATCATCATCATCAGTCGGCATGAGCAAAGGATGAACCAGCTTTTGGTTGAGTAATAAGACAGCTCCACCCAATCTTTTACTTCTCAAGATGTATTTAATTATGATATAGATATATAGTTATAGTAAACGGGAACTAGAATATATTAAAATGAAAAACAAAGAAAAAATAGAAAAACATACGACAGAGACAGGAGTAGAGTCATGTAGAGGAGGAGGAGGGTGGAAGAGGAAGATAAAGGAATTCGAGTCTAATTGTCGCTTGAATGGTACAATAGCATAGTTATGTGGTAAGAACTATATGAATGTATAGGAAAATTTATGAAGAGTCAAAAAGACATTAACATGATAGATGACAGTCGAGAGGATACATGTGGTCAAAAGCTCAAATGGGACCTCCCACATAGATTTTCTTGCCGTATATAGAAATATGGTTTGAAAGCTTTGTTGTGTTGCAGAAAGTGAGAAGAAAGAAGATAATGATGAAGCATCTTTGAGATATAGAGAGATAGAGTGAGGAAGAAAGAGAGAGAGAATGAGCAGAAACTAAAATCCCAACGAAAGAAAACTTTTTTTTTGTCATCTTCTGAATGTTGGCTCGTAACGTCATCTATACAGAAGACGTTGTGAAGATGGGATTGCCTTTTGATAAAAACAACTCATTTGAACAAATATGAAAGAAACTTTGTCTTTTAACGCAAACAAACTTTGTTTCATATTGCAAAAGTTTTTTTTTGTGTTGGTCTTTCAAAGAAATCCTTACAGCTTCATGTCGATTATGGCTGTGACAGCTGTCAGGACATTCAGGGCTCTAATTGAGTTGTGCAGGTTAATTTTTAAAATAAAATGAATAGTTAAGTGAATGAAAATAATAATAATATTACAAAAAGTAATAAGTTAACAAAGTATTCTCAAGAGAATGTGATAAATTATTTGTCTTTGCAAGTCGAATACAAGGTCCTTTAGGCCATAAAAACCGGCAAGCGACACCACCCGATCAACAAGGACATAGTCGGATCTCCTTCTACTCTCCGGTAGCAGATTGTTCTTGATTCGTCTTTACCGAAAAATGACCACAAAAAACACTTTTATGACCATTGCTGGCTTAACATCACATCAATTAGAAGAGTTTTAAGATGAAAAAACAGGAAAAGGAAAAAGGTCCATTGATAACGAAGGAGTGGAATGAGAAGAATGACTTTGAATTATGAGAGAAGAACAGAGAGAGAGAGAGAGAAAGATAGAGGGTTACTAAGGTCAGAAGAAGGATATTGGCAACAAAAAAACTATTCAGAATATGCTAATTTAGAAAAAGGCTAAAAAAATACTCATACTAACTATACGTATACAATTATAATAAGTTCTTCAAGGTCTTTGATGAACTATCGAGAAGTGAGCTCACATGCTAGAGAAGACAGTCACATACATATGGAAATTGAGGGAAAAAATGAGGAAATTCAATGTTGAGTTCTTGCTCATTCTGTTCCGGTCAAACAGCAGATGGATGCGGTCAAATAATTCGAAAGTTTGGATGGCAAATGCTTTCATCCGGAAAAGACGCAAATATTCAAATGAAAATGCAAAAAAAGGTTACAACATACAAGCCAAGAATCATTTTCTTTTGATAGTAGGCTATATGTAGTTTGATTGACAAAATGCCATAGCCGAGAGGATCACAGTGGTAGTAGGGGGGGAGTTGATGGTCGCGCATTTCCCAACTTCCCTACCGCCCCATTTGTATCTATAGGCTCCGCCCACATATGGTTTCTTCTACTCGAAGAATACCTAAAAGCATTGCAAAAGCAATTGAGAGATAGCAAGATGAAGAGAAATGAGAAGATAATGGACAGAGGAAGAGAGGAGGAGAGATAGAGCTTGTTCTTATAAAAATACAAGCATATCGCATTACATGTCATATCATGTTAAGCAGATCGTTCATGAGGTCATGAGCATATGGTGGTTTTCGATTAGATGCGCGAAAGAAAGGAGGGGTAAGCAGTAGTATAGACTGTAAATGGAGCTGTTGGTGCGTAGGATATAAGCTTAAAGCTGAAGAGCAGTCACATAAGGATAGTAAGAGGTTGAACAGCATCTGCCAATTAGAGAAATAGAAGATGTTCCAGGAAAAACATCCTGTGTATCTAAAAAGAGGTCATCGAGCATAGGTAATGTGCATTCGTATAGTTAATGTGTTAAACAAATGAAATGAACAAACTAATAGAAAACGAAATTGAAAACTGAAACTATTCTAGGGAGGATACCTCGTTCTCTTCATTCTTCTATTCAGATTGCGTGAATGAAGGAAGAAGAACGAATTTTTCCTCATCCACAACCTATCTACTCATGGTCTTCAGAAGAATTGGCCGTTTTACGAATTCTATGCTTCAACAACTAATCTCATTTTGAAGCAGCGCCTGCCAAAACTCAAAACCTCTTTTTACCCTCTTCATCAACTTTTTTTTATTCAAATCTAACAATAAGAAATCAAAAATATGCAAGTAATTACTTTTCTACTCAACGTTTTCAAAAATATTTTCTGATCAAAAAAACTAAAAAAGGGTTCCGCAGCGGAGCAAAGCGTTCAAGATGATCTTCAGACCTATACATTGGCAGGGATCCGAAATGTTTGGGATCCAACAAAAAAAAAGATTTTAACCAAATGAATTGAAAAGCTAATTGGAAGAGAGATATCGATATCATTTAATAAAGAAAATGCTCAGTTTGAATCAAAAAAACCTTTTTTCAGAAAAGAAAAAGGAGAATTTCCATATATGATGTTCAAACTATGTTTATGGAGAGAATGAACTTCTTCAATCTAATCCAGAGGAATTATAAGCAAGTGTCTCATTTAAGAGAGTTTGTTTATAATATACCTACTAAACATTCACACACACACACACAAAAAATGATAAATAAACTAACCTTAATAGATGATTGAGAGAGGGGTTGTGGAGGGCAACCGTTTTCTGACTTTGCACCAATTCGAAATGATTAAAAATGAGCGTCCTTACTCACTCCACGCGCCCTCATTAGCATAACGTGGAATTAGCATAAGCAGTAATCGCTTCGCAACAATCAAGTGTCTCACGCAAGTAAGTAAAACGTAGAAAATCTCGTTTTCTTTTAGTTTATTATTAACTTACTAATTTGCATATCAATTGAAAACTGTCAATGTCATATATAGCTGACAGTCTTCATATATGGTTTGCAATGTGTGCGCAGTAGTAGTAGTAGAAGCAAGCTCAGCAACAACGACTACTTATGAAATTGCTTCGGATCATTGTGTTAAATGAAGCGAACAAGTTGATGAAAACATCTTTGCTTCGGCAAAACATCTGTTGTGAAATGTGAAAAGTCTCTTAATTAGAGAAAATCAAATGAAATTATGAGAATAAAGAATATTAAATTCGAAAAATTAGGTAACACATGCATAAGTATGACCATAAGAAGGGGAGTAAAGCATATGTCTGACCTGCCTCCGGATTGTATTACAGTGCTTGACCGTATTTAAGAGGATTCCGGCTCATGCAAGACAATGGTCACCGTCAACACAAAAAAACCCAGAAGGTTAAAACGACGATAGAGAACTCAATGAACTAGATTGCTGAAGATTGGCTAAGGTGGGAATCAGCTACCAGTTGTATTAAGACATTACTTTATAGACGACTAATGAATATCCATATGCAACTACTTGCTTTTGCCACAAACATTAAGTCAGAGAGATCGTCGGTCGTAAGTAGATCAGCTCCTGCGTTCATCCATATTTGGAGATTATCTTGTTTTTTTCACACTCTTCCGTACGTCTTAGTCTCATGTTTATATAGTTAAAAAGGAACTGAATAAACATGGTGGTAATTGCTTACCAGAATGGCCAACCAAATGGTCTTCGAGTACTTCAGACTCATTACTCAATAAATTAGAATATCTACTGAGTGCTTACACCGATACGTATTGTTTAATCATATAAGGAATGAGCCTGTTCAGCTATTGAGCTTGTAGATAAGGTTGAAGAGTGTCAACGAAGTAGTCACTTGAGAATCTCAACAGACGGCTAATTAGACAGTCCAAACACGAAAACTGTACTCAAGTTAGGCTTAAGAGGAGTAGTTTACACTCTTACACAAGCTGAAGACGAGAAATCTTAAAATGTTTTTTGGAATAATTCGATGGAGACATGCAACCCCTGAGATTTCTATTTCTACATCATTCCTACTATACAAAAGAAACAATTAATCATTTTCCGTCTCAATATATCAACGGTCAACCCATCCAAACGAACCGCTGATCGGATTATTCACTGAACAAGTCAAAGTCCAAGAATGCGTACGGAGGTAGAATGTTGCGACGACAACTTGCGTACAAGCCGCACCTAAAATAACATTAAAGCTTATTTGAGTGAAGCTCAAATATTAAACAAAATTAACGGAAGTTGACAAACATAAGAATTGATCTGAATTCGTATGAAAGCATATATTCCTTGGATGAGAGTAGGTTTTGTTTTTACATAACTTGTTCCCAACTTACATTATTTTGCAAATTTTTACACAAAGATGCCTTCGCTTGTGTTTAACAAGTTGTAAAACGTAAAGATTTAACTCTCTTTCCCATTCCATTAGGTTTTACGAAATGTATGTGAGGGTTTGAAACTGTAAAACGAAGGGGCAAAGTCATTTCTTGATCTCGAATCGAGTCACATTCCTGATCTTCATTGCTGATAGACAAGGTGAGTTGTTACCATTACCCTGTTTCTGATGTCCTTCAAGAGCATTCAGATTTCCTATTTTGAGACAAATCCTAAAGACAAACTTGGTAAATGGTGATTTGAAGATTCGATACCCAAGTTTTCGTTTGGTGATAATGAGCAAAACTTGTATGATAAGATTCAACTAGGAAATACTTGTTAATTTTCAATCAAGAAGCTTTTATTGGCCTTTAAACTTCCTCGCAGTTCTTATTCATTACTTCTTCATTGTACTTTGCTGAGTTCAAGAAGGTTTTATCAACAATTTGTTTATCAAAGAATTTGTTTCTGACAAGCAAAACCACTTCTCATTTCCACGATTTTCCTACGTTTAATTACACGTGTTCTTTCATTACTCTGCTCCTTATATAGTCTTCTTCTTTGAAACTTATTGAGTCTTTGCAGTATGACCATTTCCATATTCGTCTTCATTCTTGTGGTTATTTTCGGTTCAAGTTCATGGATCGGAACCAATTCAGTATGGGTGCAACTGCCTCTGCTTGTTTCTGACTTGCCTGAGCAGTGGTCGCTTCCAAGTTATTTGGCTTGTGTCGTCCAGGTTCTTTCACATATTCAAACAGTACAATGTTTCGTGATTATAGATCGGTTGCATAGGACCTTTGGTCTACTCTATCATACACAAAGGAATTCCAAGATGTTCTCTTCCAACTATTCCACTGATTGGCTTCTTCCTTGTCTTAGCCTGTTTCTGTCAATTAGGTATAACCTCTTTCTTTCACTCTTATTCATACTTTCCTCTTAGGACTGGTCTTTTTCTGGGATAAAACAGCCGCCATTGGAGAGAAAACTTACTCCGTTGCCTTATATGGTCTTATATTCGGCTTGGCGTTGGTTAATTCAATCTCCAATGTCCTCTTCTTACCATTCATGGCGCAATTCCATAGAGCTTATCTGAACGCCTATTTTGTCGGAATGGGCTGCAGCTCACTAGTGCCCAGTTTGTTATCTTTGGTGCAAGGTAAACCTATTCATTAGCAGAACTGCTTTGACTTTTAACTACGTGCAGGAACAGGAAATTATGAGTGCATTGGAACAAAGCCTCAGTATAGTCCACCCAGATTCTCCGTCTCTGTCTTCTTCATTTTTATTTTTGCCTGGACTGTTTTGGCGGCCATCAGTTTCCTGATCCTTCATCACATAGGAGCTCACAAAGAGTACGTATCCTATTCATAGAGTTCTCATAACTGCTTACAACTTCAGAGCAGACAATGGAAAAACCGCTACTGAAGATGTACATGAAGGAACTCCACTCAGTAGGACGGCCTCACTCAATGAACTTTCCAATAATGAAAACCGGGCTTCTCAGAGTAGTCAAGCTCAGGTACAGAGAATATTTTCTTAATCATTCAAACTGTATCCTTGTTCTAGACTACCACACAAACCCACTCGCACCTTTCCTTTGCCGAAATCGTCCTGGTGTTAGTTGGAACTGCTCTGGTGAATGCCCAAATGAATGGAATCATCACTAGCATTCAGTCATACGCAACTCTACCATACTCTCAGGTTTTGACATTTACAGTTCTTACAACCTTTTCATTCTCTTCAAGGCCATATATCACTACAGTGTTGTTCTTAGTAACGTTGTTTCTCCATTGGCATCGTTTGTTCCTTTCTTCTTCACCATTAGGTATGAGGTTTATATGAGTTTGCATACTGTTGTTTCTTCTTTCCAGAGCCATTCCCGTCTTGACTGGGTTGACACTTACTTCCTCTGTCGTCACAGCATTCATCGTGTACTTGGCCACTTTGAGTCCACATTTAATTTTCGACTCAATGGCTGCTGGAAGTGCTCTTGCGGTTTGTCAAATGTGAATATCATGCTCAGCTCAGTTGCTGTTTCAGATTGTGTCGTCATTGGTAGCTGCTGGACTTCATTCCTATTTGAGAATCGTTTTCGCTTCTCTGTTGAGAGAAGGTCAACAAAGTGAAAACCAACTCTTCTGGTGTGGAGTCTTCATCCAAGTACGTTTCATGAGCAATCAAATTTGTATGATGAGCTTTATTCAGGTTGGCTCCTTCCTGGGAACTGCGGTAATGTTCCCACTGGTCAACGTAGCTCATGTGTTCAAGCCTGCAGATGCTTGTCCATCATAAGTTCTTTGAAAAGGTTGTTGAATTTCTCAAAGTTGTTGTTATCTCCTTATATATACACAAGTTCTTGTTTGTTTCTGTGATATATCCTTCTGTTGTATCTCGTGTTTGACGCATATCGCGAAGCTGGTCCTTCCTTAACACTTTCTAAGAAAACATATTTGACATATTTGTTTATTACAGAGATCATATTACACCGGAATAGTTTTTAGATAAATATTTTAATTCTCTTCAATTTTTATTTTTTTCACACTTTTCGGTGGCTTCGTGTAAGTGTCCGTCCGAGTGGGAGGACTGAGATGGACATTGTAATTCTGAAAACGAAAGATGCTATTAGCTCATCAAAGATTTTTCTGAAACCTGGAAAAATCTGATCATATCTTGACTCGTCACGAAACCATCATTATCACTATCCAATTCCTGAACGATTTCGATCAGTTCGAAAGTACAAGCAACCTTACTTGAAATATTTTCTCTGCTCTTTGTAGTATGGTCTCACGATTACACTCTTGGAAGCCGTTTTTCCCCTCATTCAAAGCAAAAACAGATTGAGTGAAGGAAAGAAAGTCCTGAAACGATATAAAGGTCAGTCAAAGGATGAGAACGTACTGGAAAAGCAAATTGATCACTGGCAGAACCGGTAATCAGTCGAATCGTCCATTGAGCATTAGATTCTGCTGATTGAGGGTTCAGATGAGCTAGACATTCTATTAAATTCTGGAAAAAATATGTTTTTCAATTAAAGTTATTTGTTTTGAACCTGGAATGTGATGGTTTTATGATCTTCATTGGAGAAGGCGGTGAAAAGACGAGAGAGGTACTGGTCCGTAGCTTTTTCCGGAGCAATGATAGAGGATAGCAGTACTCGGAATTCCGGTTCTTTCATTCTACCATTGGGACATTCCTATGAGAATATGATTATCTTCAACTCAAACGAAGTAGCTCACATTTTTAAACTTGGAGTACATGTATTTAAGCCATCTCGGATCAAATTGTGTTTTTTGGGCCAGCTCGTCCAAGGAAGGAGGCTTCACAGCTACCTCCCATTTCTCCACCGCCTCATCCACATCTATCTCTGAAAGAACAAACAGATGAATTTGACACTCTTGCAAAAGGAAAAACCTTCGTTTCGATAAAAAATTTTGAACTGAACACTTCGAACGATCCAATAAAATCTGTGGAACAGCCGATCGGCCAACTGATTGTGGAAGATGTGCCTTGGCTCTGCGTACAGCCGATGGAGGGCTCGGTCGAACTTAACATATAGATATCAGTTTAGAAATTTGCATAAAAACAATTAAATGTAACATGTATTTTCAAACAAGAATTGACTGGAAGCCATAGTCCAGCTGACATACACACACACACACACACATACACAGGGGGGAGGCTTTGCTTACTCGTTCGACTATTAGAACGACACGAAAATAAGAGAAATTAAAGAGAAACAGAGAAAGAGAACACACAAGGGGTTGTGTGAGTGAGGAGGAGGAAGATCGAAGGAGGTAGAAATTGCCTTCTATAGTCAGTTATGCAGTAGCGTGAAAACAATTAGCATTTTGTATTAGAAAAGCTCAGCAGAATACAGAAAAAAGTAAAGTTGGAAACTTGGGATGAAGAGAGACGGGTTTCTCATGATCAGAATCAAAAGAGGAATCAGAGCACACCTGTGCGAGTTAACATATTGTGTTAGAGATGAAACGAAAAGAAAAAAAATGAAATTGATGGGAAGTTATTACCATCGTTTGTTCGTAGCTGTAAGCCGAACTAAACTTCTTTAGTCGAAGCTCCTTCTTGGCTACTGCATTACCCATCATTCATGTGCAGATCAGCGAATTGGTTCAAATTGAATTTATACGCAAAAGCAGGTGAAGAAGAAATATGATGAAAGTTGGGCCAAACTTTCAAATAATCAGTACAACGAGTTGGCACGAAGTAGAGTGAAAGTTATTATTTGAATTTTACTGTTTGAATCTAACATCATTTAGAATGATAGGCATGAGTGAAGACAACCAATGATCAACTTTGATATGAACAACTGACTATTCGAAAAGATAAATCATCCTAAAGGTTTAGGTGAAAACGGAGAAAGGTAGATTTACAACTTGAAATAACAACTTCTAAAAGGTGAGTGTGTCGTCAACGTGTATATGCGTCACACATCAATCAAACGATGAATGGAAGAAGGCTTTTTCTTAATTCCAACATTACATTCGCGAGTTTGAGTGAAGTGTTGCTTGTTTCATTCAGTTGTTAAGTAGGCGGTTCACGTGGAAATCCCGTGAGTCACGAAATTCATTTAGCGCTAGACAGACGCGTTGGACGGTTGTGTTTTGAATCGAAATTCCAAACGTAGAGGAGAGGCGTCATGCCAATTTTTTTTTTGCGAATAGTAAATGAAAGTAAAGGTTAGGGAGGGGAAATTATGATGTAATATGAAACCATGTATAGTTTTGCATGAAGGAGCATCAGAATATATAAATAGAAGATGGGTAGGGGAGTAAAGAAAAAAATTTGTAGGAAAACATGAAGTTCCTTGAAGAGAAGATAAACTTGAGAGAGGGAATAAGATATAGAGAGAGATAGAGAGAGAGAAAGAGAAGGAGAGAGAGAGAGATGTTTGAAATATTGGAATATTCATGAGCGAATATCTTTCAACACAATAAAAAGGCTTACAAGGCTTTATTTAGTTTATCGAACATATAAATACCTTTTCGGTTGTGTAGGTAGCATAGATGATATGCCAACTGATCATCACTGCGACTACCAGCGCAGGCTTGTGGCTCACAACGAGAACGAGAGCTTGTTCATGAGTGTTAGAAACAAAAGTGAATGGTAGTCAAAAATTCAAAAGTTGAGTTTGTGAAGATAAAAAGATGTTTTTCTCTCACATAGAAGGTTTTTTTGAACTTTTTCTAAACAGAGCTGGCAATGAGAGCGCATATTGTGTGCAACAAGCGAAGAAGTAGGCAAAACTGACTTTCTAGCTGAGGCGGCAGCTTACCCAGCAGCTTCTTCTTCTTCTTCTACTCTCCTCCTTTCCTTTAATTTAAATCGAAACTTATTTTTAATTCATCACAATTCATCGTATTTGAAATGAAAATGCTCTTTTCTTTAGAATTGTTAAGTTCACGAGATGCTTTAATGATCAAAAGCATAATTAGTGAGCGTTCGAATGTTTTGAGGGGAAGATTACAATTACTACTCTACTACGTATCAAATGAAATTCAATTTCACCAACCTGACTCGGACGACGTTTGACATGCTTGTCGCTGTTAATGCTGGTGAAGACGTTTTTTCCTGTAAACATGTTGAACCTGCAGATATTTTCCAATGGATTCTTTCTGTTTTCTCGAAACTGAGAATGGAATTCCGCTTGGAAATTAGATGAAAATCATTTTAATTGAGTGATCGATTGGATTTCCAGCGGACAAACTGTTTCTCTGGCAAGAAAACTATCAGAGGGAGTACTAAAGTAAAGAGAGAGAGAGAGAGATATTGAGGGAGAGGGTGTAACCACCAATATCTCACAACGACAATGAAGAAGGTAACGAATGGATTTCATGGAGCTTTTCCTTTCTGAGTCAAAGCAACGTGATGAAGTTGGAACCATGCTTAAGCATGTTTCTCGAGATTCCGCTTAAGACAACCCTCTAAGACCAGAGAGAAGGCTGAAGCGAGCGATTGACAAATAGAGGAAAAAGTTTTTTTCGTTGAGGAAATGCTGTGAGCAGTCATTGGATGTGTATATGAATAAAGAAGCAATAAAAAAAACCTGGTATTTGGAACTTTATTGGCCAGTAGCTCTGTCTGCGAGTCCGTTGAGGCATGGCAAGTTTGAGTCTCTTCCCGATTGTTAGTTACTTGACCTATCACAGATACAATGAGGATCAGAGCAAACGAATGAGAGTATCCCCCGAGAGGGAATTCGAAGTAGAGACTTTTAAAGATATGATGGATTGAGGAAGAACTGCTACTCTTAAGATTCTCTGGAAACTTCCAAAGTTGAAAATTAAGCAAAACACTGTTGGCCGTTGGCCAGATTATGAATTGATTCTAGGAGAGAGAGAGAGAGATAGAGAGAGCTGGCAATGCCTTTCTTAAGGACAAACAAAGTTCGAAGGAGAAAAATAAACGAAAACGAAAGTTGTGAACAGCTGGCAGAGTTGACTAAAGTGTCGGCTCAACCTAGCTCAAGCTTTAATTGTAAGATTGAGGAGAGCAGATCCTTCGTTCAACTTGGCAAAATTTGTTTTTAACTAATTCCAATGAATCTAAAATACATAATGATGTGAGAGCGAATCAGATTTATGGGAATTTCAGTCGCAATGTTGTACATTACTCCTTTTTTGGGCAAAAAGCTTTCGTGTCGTGTATGTTCGGTCGTTGATGAGCACGAAAACTTCGTCAATTTCGTTCGTTTCCGTAGTTTCATTTGTCATCTTTCCTATCCAATGATAAATCCTTTGAACTTCTTTCGTAAAGATTCAATTCGTCTTCTCTTCTTCTTCTTCCCCATATTAGGAGAAGACAAATGCAACTGGCACAGCAATAAGAGTTCAAATACTTTTTTTTGTCCCAAAATTGAGATGTTTTCTTTCTCTTTTTCATTTCTCAAATCAAAAACAACTTTTTTTTGCTCTCGTTTGGCCTCTCAAGCTCTCGCAGAGAGTGTTCACGTGTAGTTTGTGGCCCAAAGAAGTCGAAGATGGGGAGATCATGTTGGGAGATGAACAAAAAAGAAAAGTTATTTTAAAATTTAAGTTTCTTAGAACAAAGGCGAGCATTGCCATCAATATGAAATGAAGTCAGTTTAACTGCTATGTATGGAAATGACCGAGAGCTTCTTAAGATTTCCCGCCAAACGAACGGCGCCAGAACGTAAAAACAGAAGAAAACGTTTTTTCTTAAAAAAGTGTTGTACAACAAACATCTCTCTCTCTCTCTCCCTCTCTCTACATCTCTTACTCCCTCCCTCTTTGTTTTATTCGATTTTATAACATTTTTTGCAAATGTTTCGTTTGTCCGCAAGAAGTTGCACAGAAGGAGAATCAATCTCTTAGAATGGAAAGAAGCTTATAGCAAATCCATCTTCTCATTCGACCAAAATAGAAAAAACAAATATTTTAAGAAACACTTACCTCCACGATCATGCCCACCAGCTGTTACTTCATACGAATTGAAGTGAAAGGACATGTCAGCTCTGCAATTTCACATTTAACTTTCTACTTCCAACGATATTCATGGGAAAGCGGTTTGATTTTCCTTTTGAGATTATTTTTTTTTCATTTTCAACAAAGGTTTTGGATTTGAGCCGAAAATCCACTTAAAACTAACATGACCTTACATAGCCGTAGCTTTTCGGATGACGTAACGAGAAGCAGATTCTGTGCGTCTGAACGAAAAGAGAAAGAGAGAATAGGCTTATTGTATGAGCATAGTTTGTCTAATGGCATTTCTGTCGTGTTAATTGAGAAAGAAAGAATTTGAAAACAGAACCGAGGAAGATTTGCTTGATGAAAGGTAGGTGAAGGTTAGAAAGGCTTACATCTCGAAAGCAACAGAATTGCGAAGCATGTTGAGGTTGATCGTCGAATATTTGATGAAAGTTCTGATGTTGAGAAAAAATGGAAGAATTTGAAGTTTTTGGAGTTCTAAATTTGAAGAAAATATGTTTGATTGAACTTTGAAAGGGAAATAGACCCTTTAAGGAGATTGAATATTCAACCCGGCCATCTATGAGAAGAGGAAGAATCTGTGAAGAAGCTGAAATGAATGCTCAAGCTCTTCATAGTCATCTACTCTCGAATAAGCTTTTCTCTTCGGCTATCTATTCCATCTTTTCTTGGTTCAGAAGACTCATGGATATATGAGAAGATTCAGATGAGAAAGGTTTTTCTCCACTCTCGTCCTTCTCTCTCTATATCTCATATTCTCTCTCTATGTTCTCCATACATGTCGTCTATGAGGTTTGGCGACTAAGAAAACGACCAAGCACATCATATGTTTAATGCAAGCAAATAAGTCATTTGAGATTATTTTGACATGCATTTTATGATAATTGAAAAGACTTAATTATTAATTCTTCAATCTTTTTAAAAAATGAAAAATATGTTTTTTGGGGAATTGAGAATGAATGTGTATTACCTCGCTGACTGATAGATCATCTTGATTGCTCCTCCAAAATATTATTTCACGGACGTTGAAAGTTTGAAAGGCGTTTGAAGTTATGAATGTCTGCGAACGACAACTTGGTTAAATAGATTAATTTTTAAAGGGAGAAGCTAATGAGTCAAAAACGTTTAACGAAACACTGGGCAAGAGAGGGATGTTTAGTAATAGAAGAGAGAAATGAATGGAGGGAGGGGGTTAAAAGGCTTTAAATGAGAGAGGAGAACCGAATACCTCAGGCTAGCTCTCTTTCCAAGGAGAAGTGGTTTACAATTGGAAGTAAAAAGTGAAAAAAACGCAAGAAAAGAAGGAAAAAATAACTTTTGTCTCGTCTGAAGCGAACTTCATTTCCACAATTCATCTTCAACTCGGTAGTTTTGAATGAAAAAAACATTCCTCGCAGCTATTCTCTCTTCTAATAAAGGAAAAGGGAGAGAGAGAGAGAGAGAGAGAGAGAGGGAGAGAGGGTGAGAGAGAGTGAACAGCAGAACATTTAAAGATCTTTAGTGGTTACTAATGTATTTTTGATTATCATAATGACATCACTCACATCTTTTGAAAGTTTGCTTTGGCTCAATTCCGCAAAGGAGAAAGGACACTGCAGGCATGAGGAGGAAGTACATCCTGAAATCTTTATTAACTATCAAAGTTATTAATAACTTGTTAGCCATCCTCCAAGAATGGCATCCCCTTTACGACCAAGCAAAATATAGCCAAAATGCTCAAAGATTACTTGATAAGCCTAGAGAGAGAAAAAATTTTTGTTGACGCGAAACGGAAGATTTTCATTTGTAACCCTATGTAAAGCTTTGATATGCCCATAAGATGAGATGATATGATCGTTTTGAGAGATTTCCAGAGAGCCTTCCCCCTCACTCCCTCCACCAAAATCCTAAAAACAATATAAATATGTCTGTTTTGGCAGTTCTTGAAGCAGTTTCCCGTTTCAACTCAACGCAATGTTCTCACTCATATCGCTCATTTACAAAACTCTATCTAAACCTGTTAACATCTCTATCTTTTCTCTGCTTCTTCTTATGCTCTTCTCATTGATTACATGGGCGGCCCTGTTTCTTCTTCTTAAACACACATTCAATTACTACTTTCCTCACATGGTTAATCCGCGAAGAGGTAACTATCCTGCAGAGAGCTTTGATATACCAGGTTTACCATCTAGTCACTTCTGAAATATCCTATAATTACAGTTTATACGTGCACTTCCTTACCCGATGTCGTCTGTAAGACCAAAGATAATCCTCCAAGTACGTTTATGGTTTTCAAAACAACCGTTCATGACATCGTACACGCAAACAATGAAGATGAACTTATTCTAATTATGACACGTATGCTAATGCACCCTAATTCCACGCGTGCTGCATAACCCAGCTATACGGCAGTGATTATTCTAATTTCTAACGTGCTATTTATACACATTGATAACGCGGAATGTTTTCAGATTATTATGACGTTGAACCGAAGTTATCAAAATCTTTGCCATCGTATGAAGAAGCCAAGTATATGGGTTGCACCAGTGCGAATGAGATTGCGAAAACTCAGCTTTCTGGATGAATCGCTTTGCTACACTTCGTTCATTAACTGATAATCATTGAAAGGTTTATCTGTCATTATATATGAAACATCCGAATACACGTAAATATTAAAAATTGTCGAGAAAATCAAAGAGGCAAGCTAAAAGTATCGTAGAAATCTGTTTCTTATTATCACAACGATGAGTAGTTAATCGCATTGCAACCGGTTAGTAGAATCAATCAATATCTTTCAAATGAGTGAAGAAAAGACGAGAGAAAAAACGATAGGCAACATACAAAGTACCGAAGAGACAGACGAACGTGGGAACAGTAATCCACCGCGACGTAGTGTTCTAAGTTGAGGCACTCCGTTACAAAAATCTCCTTGACAGTAGCAATACTCTACGACCACACTAAACATTCAGAATGAATTGATTGGCTCATTTAGCTCTTTAGTTGATAAAGTTTGACACTAGCTCACTATTCGAACGCCAACAAAACTTTTGAGGATGTTCACGCGAGTGCACGCAGTTGTACCGTGCACTCGTTGCAAGATGGTCAAAGTTAGAGGCCTCATATCTCAAGATACAGGCTATGTAACGAAAAGATATTTAGATATTCGGGACCAGCATCAATCAATTAGTATAAAGAAATCAAAAAAAGAACAAAACAGAGAAATTACATCTTCGACCCAAGTT